GAATCGATTCTAGAAATCAGTGACGATACCCAGCCCTACCAATAACAGCTACTGGTTTGTTGATTTGTCACTCAACAGTGAACAAAAAAGATAAACAATAATATTAAACAAAATATTTTACAACTAACATATTAACAAGCATTAAACATTATGTACCACTTAAAATTCATTATTATCATTGCAATTAATAATTTATTATAATCACTTTTATGGGGTTCATTATTAATAAATTACATAATGCACATTATGTCATTAAATCAATGCATGATTAATGCTTTGTGCAGGAATTGTTGAGGAATAAAGTTGCACATTACAATAATTTTAAGGCTTCTCCTTACCCTTGACTTTTCCTCCAGTCTGGTCATCATGACAATGGTGCTGGATCTCTGCTCCCACACCATTCTCCAGAAATCACTCAGTGTCTCTGGCAGAGGCCCCTGAGTAGCAATGTAGGCATTCTGCTTCCTGTAGCCGTCGATGTAATTGGCGTTAATGTAGTCACTTCCTGGAACGGCTGTAAAAAAGACAAACAGTGTGCATAAAACTCCTATTAGTCAGTACGGTAACTTTAATAATATTTCACTGTTCAATGACAGAGTTATGGATATTTTCCCTTTGTACACTGTCTGCCAGAAGTCAAAGACAACCTGTCAGTCAATCACCTAGATTACACAGGTCTTTATGATTTACATGCTTAAATCAATACGGAACAAAAAAAGATACTTGGGTTATGTGTGCAAAATTTTCATCTTTTAAACCTGCACCTGCAGGCGTACAACATGTCCTTGGAAGTTTTGAAGGAGGCCTCAATCGATGGCGGTGTCAGTCAATAGCTATCTGAGGGGTTAAGTGGTTACGTGAGCTCTTACCATCAACGGAGGTGAGCACCACTCTGGAGTGATCATAGGCGATTACGTTTGCATAGCGGTTCTTTGGCTTGTTTACTTCCATGTTTGAGTTTTCCCAGGTAAACTGCTGGCCCGGATCAATGGACTGTGAGACAGGACAGAGGAAGGAGGGAACAACAAAATAAATGAATAAATGAAGTACGAATGATTATGAGAGAATGAACAGAGAGCCACCAAGCAAAACGAGAAGCTGTGCTGTGGATACCAGCTTACAAAGTGAATCCCTGATGCTCGCTGCTCTGCAGCTGCTTTTTGTGGATTAACAGTTTGGTTATCTGCGTGACATTTGCTGTCTTATACTAATGAAGTACAAATATAAAGAGTCTCAATTTTTCATAGGCAAAGGCTTTAGTTTTAGTTGAGAAGTTAGAAAGGTTTTAAGTTTGCAGTCCACAATTTGACAATTCCACTGAATTACCTTATCCTGGGAGGTCATCTGCATAATTTGGTGCAATAACCACAACTGTTCGTTCGTGTCTCTATCGTATCTTCCTAGCTTGTGTTTCTGTCCCATCCTCTCTCTTTCTGACCCTCTTACGTCATTTGTCTCTTGGGCTAACACGACAGCAGGCTGCATATATATCGATCCGGGGAGATATGTGATGGCCTCTTATCCCTTGCTAGATAATGTCACAGAATCTCTTGTTATGCCATATCGATCCCCCACAGCTCACGCCGGAACCATGTCCAGTAATTCCCCGGGCCTCGTGCCTCACAAATCCAGCAGGAGTTAAAATAACACATTCAAAATTAATTCTCTAACTTCATGCAACTACTTCAGTAATTTAATTATTACAGGTCATTTTACGTCAAAATGTTACAGCACAACTATCGTGTAAAAATACTCGGATAATGGACGAAATCAATAGTGCAAGGGGAAGCCTTGAGAGGAGGAAAATAAAGATCCTGGGCCATTAAATGTTTCTGCAAAAAGTCCTTATACGAACAAAGCAAGTGTAGTTCTCCTTATTTGTAAATCAAACGTACAGCAAATTGCCATAAGCTGCTTTCTTACAAACACCATGAGCTGATAGCTCTCCTAAAGTGGCACCTACATTAGTATAAATGTGGCATAAAATTGAAATTTAAGCTATTCTGGACTTTTGTTTCTGAACAGGACATAAAAATGTAAAATGCTCAGATGCAACTACAGCTCCAATTTGCTCTGCGGTGAGAGTCACAGGGGCACAAGCCTATTGCTGCTGATGAGCTCAGCACTGCCAATTTTTCTGTCCGTGGCCGTCAGTGTGAAGAGAAAAATTTTATTTGCAGTCAAAACATGTCATATCGATTTGAGAGCTCAGTGAACACAGCAGGCACACTAGGCTGATGACAACTAGCAAACAAGTTAGAGGTAGAAGTGGCAGAAAGAGGTGAGAGGCAAATGCCCAAGGTACTCTCAATGACACAGTGGAAATATTTTAAAATAAACATAATGATATTGCTATGACGACGGCAGCATGATATTGCTTCCTGCGATAAAAAGACTGTCAGGGGAGCTGCAGCATGCCTGATTGACAAATTCTGCTCATTACCCAGTGTGCTCATTGCTCAGTGTGATGAGAGGAAGTGGCAAAGCCACTAGATATTCTGAGCCTTGGGGTAAGACGCAACGGGAGCAGCCGGCGAACGTGACTGTGACAAAGCGCCATGAGCTCTGCCACAGCGCCATGGCTGGCACAGAGATGGATGGCCATCTGCCGGGCGATGGAGGGGGTCTTCCCTGGCTTGGAATGACTGGTGCAGGAAGGGAATGGTGCTGGGCTGGTTGCCTGCAGTCATACAAGCCACTTCTCTGGCTTGATTCGTTTACACTAACTCAACAGGCCGGCAGGGTGATGTTGTAGAGAGGCACTGAGCAACACAAGAAGGAACTTAATTGAGAGCAGATTTTTACCAAGGCCTAATTATCTCCCCGGTTAGTTGTTAATTTCACAGCGAGTCAGAAAATGTCCTTTAGAAACATATTCTGTACGTTATAAAATGAAAAACTTTGCAGACAAATGTATGCATAATTTGTCGTGCACTGTTAACGGCTACTTCTCAGAGATATTTGATGTTTCAGTGAACTAAATGTCCATTTATCCATTTTTTTAAACTATTATCTAACTTAGGATCGTGGCTGGTTTGAGTCCAGCTGTCATTGGATGAAAGGCAGGCTACATCCTGCAGAGATCGGCGGTCTATCAAAACATTTCTCAGTAAACCAGGTCCTGTAAACTAGAACCTCCAAAATTCCAACACACATTTTCAGCTCCAACGTGTTGCAGCAAAACACTAACGCTTTCTAAAGAAAGGATTAATCACACAGCTGCTGTGTTAGTTTTAGCTGGCAGTATTCCAAAAAATGAAAACTGAATAAACAAGGCCTCTATCATTCATAAGGCAAAGTACACAAACACTACATTTTCAAGGAAGAATTTTTATAATTGTATTTATCTAGTTTGCTTTGTGGGTCAGCAAGTGTGTTAGAACAGTTATATAAAGCTATCAAATTGATGTCATTTTCCCCATAATCACTGGACGTGGCAGATAGCCGAACAGCTCAAATAAAATGTTTGCTATAGTTTGGGCTTATGATGTTGCGTGGGAAATGGTTATGAGGTTGGCAAAATTACTCTGCTGTTTCTCTCGGGGTGCAAAATTGCACAGAATAACATCTTGATGTACGGTCAGGAACAAACTGAAAGCGGCGAGAACATGACCTTCTAAATTGATGTAAAACAATCAGTCCAAAAAAAACCCCCAAAAAAGACTTGTTGGACCCATTGATGGAATAAAGTTAATTAAAGAAAACACATCAAACAAATCAGCAAATAAATAAAAGATGTCTCTTGTTTTTTCTGCATTCAAGGATGCCTCTCCACTTCATCTGGCCTTGCTTAGTACCCAGACGAACAATGTGCCACTTTAAATGCAAATTTGCTTTTGTTTTTGTGAGGAAGAACACTAGACTAGAGATAATCTCTCACCGAGGCTGCCTGTAAAATAACATTCCTCAGGAAAACATCAACACGCACACAGATTGCTTAAGCAACTTGCCACCTACTAGTTTTGTGAAAAGGCATCTCACAGCATTTAATGTAAGTGTTGCTTTCCTAGTGAGATTGGTAATAGAGTTGTAAAAATGACTGAGGAATGTCCGCGTAAGAAGGCTTCCGTAATCTATTAGAATACATGCATATGGGATCAAAGAGAAAAACTTCCCCCCAGATATCATAACAAAGAAACACATTTTCACGCTTGAAGGAGTGAAAATGTCTGATACAGCGTTAGTGCGCTGCTCTTACCTCGTACTCCTGGGAAAAGCGGAGGCCGTCATTGGCCTTGAGTCGCTCTATGTGGTCAGCCAGGTCAGCGACGGGAATGGGGGGGTGCTCCCTCATTCCTGGGAGAGAGGAAGAATAGGGGTGGGGGGGGAGAAAAGAGTGAGACCTGGCTGTTTTTGCGTCAAACACGCAGACTGACTTGCACAAACACTGGTAGGACCACAGGGTGAGTGAGGCTGCCGGTGGGACCATGGGGTGGCTGTGTAACAGTGAGGAGTGTGCACTTTGTTCAACAATGCATGAGGCGAGGGAGAGAAAAGAGAGAGAGAGAGAGAGAGAGAGAGTGCACAAGTTGAAACAGGCTTGTGACATTTGGTGACATTTGGTGATATCGTCATGCTAAGTGAGTAGGACAGAGGTGGGGCTGATACGGAGATGCACATGAGTGACTGGGTGAGCATGCTCCTTGAAGGAAGCAGGAGACAGACATCTCTGTGACTCCACAAAGCTCAATTGGTGGCAGAGGTGGGCCCAGAGCAAGAACCCGCAAGTCTCTACAAATCAGTCACACTGTCACTTCCTACTGAAGAAAAAAACTGACTGGTCACCAGCCAAAACTCATTTCTTTGAAAATCCCTTTCCCTACAATAGACTATCTTTCGGCCCAGCCTGGAGCGCTCGGGCTGGATTAATTTCAAACAACCCCCCTGCCGCTCTCTAGATTTCTCATCGCTGGGTTATTGGATGATTTATTGCTAATCTACCGACACAAATTCCCCCTGTGCCTCTGAACTTGGCAGGGCTATGTACTTAAAGGGATTGCTGGGAACTTGGCTCATGTGTTAAAAGTTAACTGTATGTAATGCATGAAGACACTTTAAAGTTATACACGGAGCATCATTAACCTTACACACAGCCTTGAAGTCACACAGATCAGACGCTTTAAAAATGCAGATATATTAACATTAGTGCCTTTGGCTGAGCACATCTATAGGGTCATGGGGTCATGCTTTCAGATGAGAGACCGCTCCAGCCCTAATAATGCTCTAACATTAATGGTTAATGGCTAGTAACTATGGCCGCTGTACATGATGAAACCTGGCCAATTACCCAAATTGAATTCTATCACACAGAGGAGCCTATGAACACATCGGTGCGCATGTGTTTGTGCGTTTTCACCAAGGTTTTTTTTTTCTACAGCAGTGTTGTTGGTTAAATGGAGAGTGAAGCCATAGATAACAAGGCTAATGTAGAGCATGTGTAACTGTCCGCACTGCTCAACTACCCATGAAACCATCTAATCCGCTGCTTGTATCATAAAGGTGTTGTGGGAAGTTCACAACCAAAAGAGGACATTGCAGCATCCTTGGAATGCCAGAAGCTATAAGCTTGTAGGCTCATGATGTCTGTCAGGATTGCAACGCGGGAATGGGTTTCGGGAGAGAGGGAAGAAAGACTGCATGTGTGGGAAATACACAGTAGGTGAGAAAGCAGACTAACTTGGAGTGTTGGGGCAGCGATGAGAGCTGGGACCTGTGGAGAGAGGAGAGTGAAGGAGGAAGGAAGAAGAACACTCAATCAATGGAGGTGGCTAAAGACCAGACTAGGGCCAAACAGTATCTGCAAATAACCTTTCAAGCTAGCTGGAGTGTGCAGCAAGTGCTGTTTGCCCTCTTGGGACAATTCAAGTAGTGCAGTTTACACTGTTAAACAAAAGTGCATACAAAGCTTGACTTTAAAGTACTCTCCTGTGGCAGGATGTGTAAACTCAGTGCACTGCATCACAGAGTAAAGGCCACTAGATGTTTCGGCTTAAGTGTCAAGAGGAAATGTTGACACCTGGTTGGTGAAAACTTTACTCGAAGGTAAAGGTTTTGCTAAAATCCCTTTCTGTACGTGAATCATTTGCATGCACAGGTACCCACCCAGTCAATCGGGAAGCCAAGCAACTGCGATGAACAACTTGACAGAGTGGGTAATAATTAGATTATTCTTTCAGTTAAACTGGGGGCTGGTTTAAATTCCTAATAAGAGTGTTCTTTGCTTCATTAAACATCTTATTATTTTCTTTAATGACGTTACCACATTCCCAGCTATTAACTAGGTGAGCACAATATAGTTATTATTGATAGATGGCCTGGCCAAACTTAAAATGCAGGTTACGTAAACAAGTGATTTCCCTATTACTTCGGCAAACTGTCTCTAAGTGGTACTTGATGCTATATTTAAAGTGTCAGCAACAAATGATCTTAAGTAAATATTTGCAAATACCATCTGATCCACGTCTGTCAAGGATAAATCAGGTCAGTTACTCAGAGAACCACACGACTGCTGCTGGAGTGCCAAAAAAATGCACAGCCGAAAGCCTGTTGAACAAACCAACATGCCGGAGACGTGAGCTGCAATCGGCCGGACCGTTTTGACAACAATCAGTATCAGAGCAGGAATGTTCACCTGCTGGGGGCGAATCAAAGAGAGAAAAGAGCGACAGGACAGAGGAATGGGCCGTTCAATATTCTCTCAGCTCAGGCTTGGAGTCTTCTATGATTTCACAAGCTAGACGCAGCCTTGGTAATTTTTGATAATCACCACTCTTGAAGCAAAACAGCGAGGTGGAAAAGGAGAAAAAGAAGGAGATAATGTTGACGTAAAGGGAGAGAGAAAAGGGGGGGGTGTAAGGGGAGAAAAAGAAAGAGATTACCCTGCAGGGGGAAATGGAAGACAAAAGACGAAAGAGGTGGAGTGGGAGGATGGGAGAACAGGGCTCTTTCAGAGCGACAGCACTGCTTAATTCCTCTGCAGGGGTTCAAAGGGGCTCTGTGTGTGCGTGCGAGGGAGTGTATGGCAAATGGGATCTTTAATAACCCGTGAGAAGAGATACACACGCGCTCACACAATCACACACACACACAGGAAAAACACACAGAAACGTGCGCGTGCACTGAGGTTGACATTTTGTCTCAGCTCCATTGTTCCCTCCGCCTGGCTCACCTTGACATCAGAGGCAGCAGGACTCATTATCAGCTGGGGGGAATGAAAGGAGCTCATGGAGGAAGGAGGAGCAAGAGACCAGAGGAGGAGGAGGAAGAAGATCAGGGGGAAAAGGAAGAAGGAGGATGCCGAGGCGGGCACCCTTACACGACGCACACACAGACTTCAGCAGCGTGTGCGGCTGGAATTTGAATTCACTCAGCCTGACTTCACTGATACCGTCAGCTGGGTATGACGCGATCATAGTTTGTTGATTTCTGCTTGCTGCCCTTTTTTTTAAGAACTGGTGAAATTTTCTTCCTGACAACAAATCAAATAAGCCGTACGTGTGAATGTCATAAAGTAACACATGCTACAAAACACTAATAAACAAGAGATCCATCAAAGGAATGAGTAAGGAAGGCATTCACTGCAGAGCAAGATTGCTTCAGGGAAGGCTGTGCAGATTCGAGCTGGGGGGAAAAAAGCAATATCTACTATTTTTCAAAAAATCTTGAAAATAAAAGACATTAAAGAATACTATTAAAGATATGAGTGACCTTTATATATTCTTTCGGCACTGAAGATAAAATCTGTTTTTGAGTTACCGACTGATGAATTTTAGGAGCGCTTTCATTTTGGAAATGACGCTCTTTCAAATCCCTAGTCAAAAAGCAGAATATCCTTTTTTTTTCATTTTGATATTAAAAAACTGAATTCTTTTCCTGCAAAGCACTGATTAAAAAATAAAACACACATGTACAAGTTTCTAGGTTTACCCTTAAACAGACCCATGAGAAGAAGTTGAGGCTGATGCCTTTTTCACGTCTTATCGAAGTTACCTCGACTTGTAAACATCAACCCTCAAGCTTTAAATGACAAAGAGAGCTTCGAATGCTTTATTAAAGCAGAACTCTGTAAGCTTGCAACTGTCTTAATAACACGGATAACTGTGTCACTACTGTCTTAAACCAGAAAGTTCAGAAAGTTCAGAGCAGTTCAGAGAAAAGTTTACATAAACTCTTTGTTGTTCCTTGTGTAGCTGTTTGTTACCTGGGGTCTGGTAGTTGAGTCTTCGCATTTCTACAGGGTCGGAAGAGTTGCCCAGCAGGGAGTCTTTCACCCCGCCCGAGTGCTCGTCTTTAGGTAAGGGTGATGCACGCTTCCTGTGGTAGTAGAAGCAGACAGTAAGGGCATTTCAAGCTGAGCTCTAAGCTCAAAGTTAGCCGTACGCTGAATAAAAGCATACAGGATGTATACAGAAAGATTCAAAATTACATCAGTGATTCCTCTATTTAGTTAGAAAAAGAACAAAAACAAACACAAAATGCACACATTTTCAAGCTGTTTCACACTTGATGAGGTTAATGACATAGTTGATGGTTTTCAAAGCTACTTTTGAGGACCACCAATTCAAGAGATAGTAGGCATCATCCTCATTAGTTTGAAAAACTGGAGTTTAATGTGTTTGAAGAAACACCGTAATTTTCCTGGAGTGGGCTAGGTTTGGCTTGTTTGCGGCTGGATAGGTGACAGCTGCAGTGTGGGAATGTGTACATGACTGCCTGTTTGTGTGTAGTAAAGACAGAAATGTGTGCTTTCCGCTGCTGTTTGTGTGCGCGAGTGCTAACAACACATTGTGTTTACTGGCTTCCAGATTGAGAGGAAAACAGGCGGAAGCTGTAATTAGCTCATCAGCTGGGTGGCACAACACAGGGTAATTAGACCAGTTCTGCAGCACCTGTGCTGCTGGGCCCGGCCTAGCTGAGTCTAGCATAGCACAGAACAGAGCAGCACAGCTCGGACTGGCTCAGCTCAGTCGACCGTGAAAAGGAAAAGAAAGCATGTTTTCAGACAGCCGGCATCTGTTGACATACACACACAAACAGGCACACAGATGTACGCTTTTCCATCTCTCCAACTTTTACAAGTACAAACACACAGAGACACTCATACAGATACAGCTGCACACTCACAAGCCTTCTGACTGCAAATGGAAATGGGCGGAGGGAAGCATCAGGGTGCCCTGTGGAAATTTCACATCTCATTGCACTCCATTTGCAAGTGGCGAGCGTGGGTTTTAGGAAAGAGCAGGGCCTTCTGTTGAAGCCCAGCGTGGTGAGAATACACAAAGCTGCTGGTGCACACACAGCCTTAACCCGGTCCACCTCAGCCACTGGGGCTGGGGGCCTCTCTGCCACCTGTTATCTTATGCTGCAGAGGCTTAAGTTAATGCTAGCTGCATGACGGTTAATCTATGACAAGCATCACTTCCTCTCCAGCCGAGAGCTGAGCCAGACCGTATCTGGTTTTCCCAGAGTTTGCTCTTGGGCTCGGCTAGACTGAGGGAGGGGATGAGAGAGATCTGTCCTCTGCACACCTCATCCATACCTCTGACCCACTCAGATGCCAATCAGAGCTACATAACACTTTAGTGCTGTCCGAAAGTAAACGTGGCTCATCTTGGGCTCAAAGTGACGGTTAAAATGTGAGAATGTAAAGTAGACGCACATGCACACTGTGAGAACATGAGTGTGTTTGCAGTACAGGGTGTGCTTAATGAGGCTAGAACAGGCCCCTTTGTTGCGACTCCTGCCAAGGGGAAGCAGGAAAAGAAGGAGGGGAAAAAAGGCTAAAAGTAGAGGAATGGGTCTCAGTGGAAAATGTCAGCTTAAAACATGGGAACATTTCTTTTTCAGCAGTTTCTCTGTCTGGCATTTACTTCACAATGGCCCATTCAGCAGCAGGTGATGCCTTGGCATATTCAGATGGGGCCAGTCTTGAAGGGGCACGCTGACACTGGCTGGATAATGAAACGCGGCTCGGAGACAAACCACAGCAGACAGAACGATCTGTGGGAGGAACACTGGGACTAGATGTGAAACATGCACCGGAACACAGACATGACCCTGGAGCTCCTCTGACCTCAGTTACCCAGGGCTGCAGAGTCTGCTCTTTCTCATGTATTGTACAATTTCTTAAAGTCGAACACATCAGACACAAAGATGATTCCTGAGATTCCTTTGAGATGATGCTTTTGGTGTGCAATGTCAATTAGAGATGAGAGACAGCTAACTCTGCAACCCCATAGAGATGATTAATACCACCAATTTCACAACACGGATGAAAACGACTTGGGCAGTGGGAGATGAAATTGTGATGGATGTTTCAGGGAAAGTACCCACCTTTCCTGTTTGCTGCATTCACAAAGGCAAGAAAGAAGTCGGGGTGTTAATGTGTAATAGTTATGCAGAAGTATTTTTTTAACACATATCTTGATCTAACTGGACTGTTTTCTAAAGACTAAAAAAAAGCGAAATATTGAAAGCAAATGATTTTAAAAAAGTTATCGTGAAAAAAATCTCTCGAGCCTTTTGAGAATAATCATGGCTTTGTTTGCCGCTAGTGTTGGTCTTGGCGACTCTGCAGGTAGCAATAACAACCAGAGCTACAGTGTGATTATTCCTTTGCACATTTACTGCCAGTCCGCAGTGAAAAGGGCACGCAGCCACCTCCCCACAGTCCCTCCTGTCAATCTGTGTCTACATGAAGAAAGGGCTTCCAGACAGAGGACGTGCTACTCAGCAGTGAGCTGTCTCAAGGCCTATTATTAACCAGTCCCTTTCTAAGTCTGCCGGAGACAGCAGCCACATAGCAAGGCTGCAAGGCTGAGGATGGCAGGTGAGGCACGTATGATGTCAAAATTAAGATCTTGTAATGGATCCATCAGGACAAGATAGTAGGTAGGACTTAATCATGAAGAAGTGAAGTGAGTGGAAAGAGTCCTGCAGCCAGTGAAATATTCTTTAAAATTAATGATGTACAAATAACTGTGCATTACTACGATGCCTAAAGAAAGGCTGGTTTTATAGAGCTGCATGAGCTACTTTTTGGTTATTTGGAAAAAAAGGTTAATTGTTAATTATAGCTCCATTATTTTGTTATTGAAAATCTATAATTGAAAGTCATGTCTGACAGCACAAAAGTCAAAGATGTTCAAAGTGCAAATATTCATTAGAATATAGCTGGAACTCTTCACAGCTTATAAGCAGAACTGAGCAAATGTTTGGCATTTTTGTTTAATAAATCACTTAAAATCATTAATTCTAATTGACTAGTCGTTTTAACATTAGCCATTAAACTTTCTCCAAAGCACCTCGTTGGTCTGTACATAGTCATGGTGTGCTGCACAGGGGCACCCGAAGTGCTTTAAAGAGATATTGACTAAGCGTTTACTTGAGCCCTCTGTTGCAGCCTTCTGTTTCTTATTTCAAATGACCAATGGTGTTGGCAAAAACACATTCCTCACTCCTAACTAAGAGATTTTGACAGCCAAGCTGTGCTTTTTATTAGGGAGGCAATGTCAGTTGCCATTTCTGCTGAGACTTCACATAGTACTGCTGAAAATAGCCAGCTGGGCCAAAATATTTTGTATAAAAAAACAAATCAACGTGTCTTTGGCTCTCCGCTCATTACCGTGTATATTATGCAAAGGAAAGTGGATGTTATAGTTTGGTGTGCGAGGAGCCTGGTGCAAGTGGCAGGAAGACGCACGTCTCATTACCATTCCTGATGCAACCATAAGAAACCTACAATCACAAGTGTCACCGCATTTCAACCTCAACCAACTAATAATCAGAAGCACGGCTTCTTACTTCTTAAAGATGAGGATGGCGATGACGATGCTGATGATGAGCAGCACAGCCAGCACTGGGCCCATGACCCACAGCATTTCAGACTGCTCCATCCCTTGAGGCATACTTGAAGTGACCTCGATTGGATCTGAGTAGGGACTAGCTGAATATGTCATCTGTAAGGAAACAGAAAAGAGAGTACAGGTACATCAGAGAGGCACTTCAGACTTTTTAGTATGTATGCAAGGTCTCCCTTCTTATTTAAGTGTAATCTGGATTCCCTAGGGTGTTTAAAACTGCCTAAAGTTAAAAAAAAAAGAAGCTCAAACATCAAAGGAAAAGGCACTGGACTCGGGGGAGAACGAGCATACTAGCATGTTGCTAACATGAATTTAAAATTCTACACAGGGTTCAACTGTAGATCAACCACTTATATACTTAAAGGACAATTAAAAAAGATACTGACACTTTGAATATGTAGCACTTTCTGTGACTGAAGTAACAAAACTGGAAGCAAAGTTTTCTGCATAAGAGATAAACCAAATATCTCACTTCCCATATCTTGTTTCTGGCACTCGGATAGTCAAGTTGTGTCAACTTAGTAATAGATGACAGTCCAGTGATGAAGGAGAGCAGGCCACGGAGCTATCGACCAAACTCAAATCAAGTTTATATATTTCTGTCTGAAAAAACTAAGACGGCTGATGACAGAGCGACTGTGACACCAGGGTGAGGGAGGTAGAGATGGAGAGGCAGGGATAAGTGTGCATGTCCCTTGGTCGCTGAGATAAATGGGGGCACAAGAGAGGACTCATCTCTTCTTCATTAGTGTTCACACCGTGACGGAAGAGGAGGAGGTGACGACGAGGGTGCATTTCCACCTTGGTTGTAAATGAGACATCTTTCCACTCCACGTCTCTGAATGATGGGGGAAAGGGAGGTGGGGAGGTATGCATCGGTGTGTATGTATCTGAGGAGGGGGTACCCGAGGGGATGCAGTATGGTGCGTGGTAAAAAAAAGGTTTGAAGAAGAAGGAATCCAACTGCGAGAGAGCAAGCTGACAGATGAGAAAAAGGGAGGCGTGAGGCATCTGTCATTAGAACTCAGCGTGACACCTATTGAATGACGATAGGAGATGCAGGTTGGGATAGGGAGTACAGAGTGTGGAAGGATATGGGTGACAGATCGCAGACCTCTGAGGGAATTGGGCTCCCAGCATGCAGTGGGAATGGTGGGGCAGCAGGCAGCAGTAATCCGGATCATTAGCTGCACAGCAGCCTGCTCTTCAGTGCACAGGCAGATATTAATTGGAAAGATAAGCTGCGATGAGCTCAAAGAGTCCTGCGCTCTGTCATATAGTTCTGTTATCACTCATGCTCTTGGACAACTGCCATGAAAACTTACACTTTGGGTGTGTGTGACACGCCACGTCTCAGTGGCGTACGTGCAAACCACCATGCTCTCATAGTGGGCCCGGAAACATGATAACTCAAGCAGGAAAGTGAAAAAATTCACATTTTCATGACAGCAATAGTTTACAGCAGCAATGTTTCACATTTGTCTCACACACACGCACACATACCGACACAGCAGGGACATGAGACCAGCTTTCTACCATTCTGAGCGCCTTTGGGAGGAACCTATTATCCAAGAACAAAGAAAAACGGCACAGCAATGGGACGCTGCTGATGTGACGACACCACAAGGCTTCCTGTTCTTTTGGGAAGGCCCGAAAAAGGCTGTAGGATATGGCCCTGCAGGGATTCCTGGGAAAAACTTTTTTTTTAATGAGGTAACAAATAACTGCAGCTGTGCTTTCAGAGAAGGATAAGAGAGGAAGAGCAAGAGCAGAGGAGAGGGCTGAACAAAAAGAGAGGGCTTTTTGTCTGGTGGTCACGGTGAAGTAGTGGGATCATCCATTTGAACGGCCCTAATATCTGATAAAAGCTCAGTCACGCAGCTCCTAATGCTTCTGCCCTCGCACAGCGGTATCACAATGGAGCAATGGTGCAGTGAAGGAATGTGCGAATCTGAGAGTGAGTCAGAGACAGTGAAAGACATAAGTGCATCCCTTACAACTCTGGATCAGTGCGCGTCTCTCTGTAAAGTATGGGCATGCAGTGTGTTTGGATATGCGCGACGTACACACGGAGTGAATAACATTGATCATATTGTTACACTGCTGGGAAACACTGGAGCCTTGACGTTTATATGGATGGTATTTTGACATGTATCACCCACCTAAATGTTGAAACAGAACAAGGCCAAAGAGTTTACCATGTTTATTTAAATTGCATAATTTTTCTTTTTGTCCACAGAGATGTAGGAGGATCTACATCTACAGGAGGGGCTACAGACGTGGGTAAAAACACAGAGAGATGAAGCTAAACACATTTTGCAGTGCAATCGCATTTAGAAAGTGAATTAGATGCTGAAAACAGATTTGATAAAATTCTATTAAATCCCATCCCCACTAGAGAAGAGATGGAAGAAAATGACAAGTAGAAGAGAATAAACAATAAAAGAAATACTGTAGATAAAGATATATACAACTGTAAGAATTATCAGTGATGTATTTGATTGCGTATGTGTGTGCGACTGTGTGCAAGAACCGCAAACAAAAGCGTGTATGTTTTTGTGTGAGCACACCTGGAACATCAGTTTTTCTGAGCCTTTTCACAAACTCCTCTAAGCCTGCACAAGTGAAGGTATTTGTTTTGGTCACAGCCAGTAGCGAAGAGTGTGTGTGTGTGAGAGAAAAAGACTATATTTGTCTGAGACAAAGTAAGAGAGAGAAGGAGGGACAAGGGAGAGAGAGAGGGAGATAGTGGGTGATGTGAGATGGCAGAGAGAGGAGACAGAGGAAAAGGTGTTGTGGTAGTAGCAGTATATCGAGTCTGCTATCTGGCCCGTGAGCTACACAGCTTCCCCAGTCAGCCACTGCTCCTCCATCCCCTGAGCACAGAATCCGCTATGCACAGCGCAGGCAAATTTGTTTCTACTCGCCGTTGACCCCGCGAGCTCCTCAACTCTCCAAAAGTGGCTTAAATAAGCTGCGGGGTGCGCGCCAAACAAAAAACACAAACGCGCAAAGACGCCTATTATGAATCCGCCGCTCTCTCTGCCTCCCCGGGGAGGCTGAAAAACCCACACGCTTGTCACTGCATGACATAGGGGAGGAGAAATGAAGGCACAAAAACTTGAGAGGGAAAGACGATAGTATGTATGAATATGCCTTTATCCATGCAGAACAGAAGTGTGGCTGCTGGTCTCGTCTACTTCATACGATGACCTCACCTCACTATTTCATTATTACTTTCTTATCCATGCAACCATTCAGCACCAGAAACTACACGTATTACTCCTTTCTAACTGTCTGAATACCAAGCACTCAGATATCTGGAGGCATTGCTACAGGGGAATACCTCCAGGAGTGGATGGGACACAGTGCATTTGAATAGTGACTTTGCCTTTATTTAAACTCCACTCAGTGACAAGCTGGACTTGAATATGCTCGTGTTCCCATCTTATTTTCCTGTCGTAATTCTCTTTTTAATATTATCTGTCGAAGCCTTTTAAATTATGAAAAAACAACCCCGTCCTCCATGCTGAGGGGATTGTGAGTTCATAGCACCGGCAGATTTAGTGCTACAATATCAATTCTTTTTGGGAACGCAGAAAATGCTTGGGTAGCATTGCAAATAGCAAAACACCCCATTATGATTTTTTTTTCTCTCTCCCAGAACATCTAATAAAAGCGCACATTAAATACGAGCTCCTCCTCAAACATTAGTCCACTTCCTCTCATCTGGGCTTCACAGGCTGGACAGGACGCGAGACACAATTTTTGCTACCCTCTTTTCCTCTATCAAACACCACCCCTACTCTCTGTCTCACATCACACAATATTTCATGCCTCCTCCCTCCCTCACTCTCTTCTCGCATTAAATGATACTGTTTATACACACCCAGCATCTATCATCCCATTTCACACCTCCCCCGGCTTGTTTATCCGCCTTGGGTGCTGGGGAGACATGAAGGCACCCTCTCTTCTTCTGCCCCTCTCTCTTCCTCCTTTGCCTTCCTTCTCTTCTTCCCCCCAACCACTGCTGGCTGCTTGTGGCCGTTGATATACGAGGGCTTATTAAACCCTGGCGGTCTTGTTTGATCTACACTGGGGGAGTTTGGGTGGTTGCGAGAAAGTGCGGTAAAGACACAAGTCATTTATTCCACTACTTGTTGTCTTATTCTCTTGGGTCTGGTGAAGATCCTGCTCGAGGCAGCTTCTGCTAACTGCTCGATCCTCCAGCATGCTTTACCTTCTGTACCCGTGTGTTTAGTAATAAACGCTCGAAAGCGGCGCGTTGGGAGTGACAAAAACAAACACTGCCGTGTTTCCCAAGGAGTGCAGTTAGGGGATTTGTGCAGAAATCAATGACTGCAGTAGCCACCTCACCATTCAGTATGCTTAAAAGCACACGCAAAGCCAGGATAGGAGAAATGAGAAAATCAAGGTGTTTACATGCTCTATAATAATCCTGTTAGTGTAGATATTGTGCTTATTATATGGAGCAGGTCAGCTATTGGATTTTTTTTTTTTATCCCTTATTGTATTTTTGAGCCATGGATGGCATATTTTAAGTGAATTTGTGAGCTGTAGCCTGAAGTGGTTTTTTTTTTCTGTCAGAGCATTTTGACAGTTCAGTTAGGGGACATGATATGTAGAAAAAACTGACTGCTTTCACAATCTGTATGCACACCTCTGTGAATGTTTTCACAAAAGCACCAACGTTCTGAAATGGTTGTCAGCTTATTTTGATTTAGCTTCAAAATGTGAGTTTTAGCCACATTTTGAAGCTAAATGTGGCTCATTTTAGGGCCAAGAATGCACTGCCACGTCTAATGATCTCTCCTTTAATCTTTGTCACGGCAGCACTTTCTCTCTCTAAAGTCTTTGTCATGTGGCGCCGTAAAATGTTTTTTTTAGAAAACCATTTGTGTTTATACATCAGAAGTACACTGCAGCATTACTATTCATGTTTGCCTTAATCTGCTATCCTAATTCAGGAAATTAAGTGTCCTATTTACATACATTTTAGGAAATGAGTTTGCTGCAGAAAGCTGAAGTGAAGGTAAACACACTGGCTGACTCACAGAGTGAGTGAATCTGATTGGTCCAAGTGATTAAGTTTAAAAGCAGGTGGGTACGACGCAGTTTAAGGAGGGGAAGTGCACAGAAAGAGAGAAATCTTGAGCGCTGCTGATCCAGCATGGTGTATCTTGCAGGTACGGTGAGAGTGTTGTGCAGTGATGGGATTTAAGCATCTGCTTTGAAGTAAAGTATACCGTGGTTGCCCGCTATAGCCTCCCCTGCATGTCCCTCCTCTTTCCTGAGTGAAAGAGTAGGGGATTACTGGAGTAGGGTGGTGGTGGTGGGGGGCTTTAGGGACATGTAAAGCAGCATTTCAAGGGAATCAGGCCTGCTTTACAGACTCCCGAGACCCTGAGACCAGGCCCTCATCTCCCTCTTAACTTCAGCTGCTCTAATCAATCTCCTCTGCTCTCTTCATGGTAGAGAAATATGAAGAGGGCGAGAGAAGCAGAGAGAGGGGTAAAGAAAAAAAGCTCAGAGGAGGGAGTGAAGAGAAAGAAATAGGTGAAAAGTCTGGGATTGGGTTTCGGACTTGGAGCGTTCGCTCTCTTCCATTTAAAAAAAATAAAATAAAATCACTCAGGGCACAGCTAGTGAATATGCATGTCCCGGGTAGCAGTGAAGCTCCGAGCAATCACAGTCGCTCATTCTTTCTGCTGTGAAGTTTACTCCAGACCGTCCCACGGAGAACTGGGCCTCCATGTTGGAGCTGTTTGACGAGTGCATTGGGGCCCGGCTCAGAAAGCCGAGAGTCTAGTATTAGCATTGTAAAGAGATGTGCGCAGGGCCCTGCTGCTGCCGAAATGGCAAAGCTGGATCTCTGATGTCATTGTTAAGTGATAAGGGAGTTATCCGGACAAGCTACAATGACTTTTAGAGGCAGCAGTATTAAAGGATAATCGGCAATAAAAACAAAAACAATTAGACTTCCCACTGCTATTTTGGAGACGCTTTGAGGAGCAGAGTGATTAGAGTTTGAGGACGGGTGATAAACTTAAATAATCTGTCCGAGAAAAGAAACATTAACATGTACCAAAATACAGAAAAGCTTCAGTGTTTAAAAAACAAATGCAAGTTCTTTACTAAAAAGCAAAATAAAGAAGCAACTTACGCCATCAAGGCTGGATGTTTTACTTACATACTGAGCAGCGCTGTCAGTCCCTTCAGATTGAAGTTCAGCCAAGACAAAGCAGAGATACTGCTGTGAGCTCGTCAGGGGCTTGTTGAAGAATTCGTCGTACCTTTTCTCATCACCCAGCATGAAGGTGGTTGGAAGTGACGCAAGCTTGGCAGCAATGTAAGGCTTGGTGGAATCCAAGTGACGTCGGTGTCTTACGACAGAACTTCTACTTGATTTGAGCAGCTGGGGTAGAAAAAGAGAGATTTCTCAATAATAAACAACTTTGGCTCTTTGGTCAAAAATCTCTCTTCCATATACACAATGGCATCCAACTTCTCTAAATTTCATCAACTCCTCCTAAAGTCTAGAAAAAGCTTTCGCACTGACACTAGACATCCAGGTTTGGTTGCTAGCATGCCTCCAAATAAGAGATAATGATTCAGCACAGCTAAAATGGCCTTTGCACAGCGATATAACTGCAAACAATGCAGCCAATCTACGAAGTGAGCAATTAGCGCTTGCTCTAGCACACAAACTCAGCATGACTGCCAGCCCGGTTAATAAATGAGCAGGCGCATACAGCACTGCGGCATTGTGTTTTCAGCAGCATTTTGTTTTCTGTCAGTGATGTCTCATGCACTGCTCCAGATGTAGCTTTATTAAATCATTATGTCGGAGGGAGGAGACAATGGCCTGCTCGGTGTTTAATGACTCAGGGAGTCCCATCTCTCTCCCTCTCAGTCTCTTCTGTTATTTCTACAGGGAGCTTGAACAATAGCGATTCAGCCCAACGAGCCTCGCAGTTTACTTAAAAATTATGCTATTAATATTTAGGCATGTCATTTAGCTTAAATTCCCTCATGGACAAGGAAGACCTTTATTCAATGGAATAATAAGGCAGTCATAAATCTTTGTCCTCATTTGAATAACTCATGTAAAACTTTGTCTACAGGCGGCAAAGCCTGACTATAAACAATTTAAAGAAAAATATAGAGATAGAGCAGTAATTCTTTTGACTACAATTGTAAAAAAATGACCACACAGTTTGACTGCCTAACATCCACAACAATACAAATAATTAAACAAAGACCAAACTATTTTATATGCACGCACATTGCTATATTCAACAAATGGGCAGTGTCTGCAGACCTGGCATTCACTCAGGACACTCCCCACCTAGCCGAGTGAGTCATTGTTTAAAATATCTTTCTTCTGGCGCCCAGGAGGGTAAAGCTAATTAGTTTCCACTCGTGACTTTCTACCCAGTTGGAACAGAGAGTGCTATTTGGGACCCTGACTTGGCACATTAGCCAATCAGACATGGGCTGGCACTCACCTCATCCATGTCCATCTCGTCTGGATTCTTCCACTTGCGTGTCACCGGGGACATGGGCACCACAACGATGTAGTACCACCTGCCATGAAAAATAAAGCTTGTGTTAAGAAAGACCGGCCGATGCACATACACGCTGAGAACAAAGTGGGCCAAGTGCATCAATAGCACAGTCAAAACAAGAAGGCGTACTTTAGCGGTGATCCTTGTTGAGCTGAATTCAAAATTTAAGTAAAACACATGTGGTTCCAACCAAGGTCGAACACCAGCAGATTGGCAATGCATTCGCCAATTAATTGCTAATCACTAAGAACATCTGCCATGTAGACTGGAACAAACACAATCCCAGTGAGGGGAGCCTTCAGCTAGCATAGATCCCCATAGGATTCCTTAGGTTAATAGAAGCAGCTATGTGACTACTCGTGTGTGTTCTCCTGCTTTCATTAAGAAGACCAAAATAGAAGGAAAAGAAAGACATTAGTAAGACATTTAAGACTTTAGAAACAAGCTAAGAGGCTAGGTGATGAATAAAGGAGAATACTTTGGAGAATGCATTAGGTTATATATGTTTCGTCTCTGCCCCGACTCTGTCTCGGGTACAAGTTTCCCCCCGATGCAGCATTTGACCACTTGTAAAATCAGGTGCTGCTGACAGCGAAAACAGCTGCTTCTCTCCAGACCTCAACTCTGTGATTCAACAGTCACTCAAGTCTAGTAGTAGGAGAGTAGACGTATAACAAGACTCCTCACCCCCTCCCTCTTACCTACACATACACACCCCCTCAACCCTCCCATCCCCAATCACAGGCACTCCGTGGCTGTCAATCTGTGCTGGACCTTGGCCAGCCCTGACAGCCCTGTAATCTTTTTTACCAATCAACCCCGTGTACTCCCCCTTTACACAGACGTGTCGCTATGTGTGTGCGTTCGAAGGAAAAGGGTCAGGTGCAGTTCTCCTCTTAACAATTTGCGTCAAAAGATAACACAGCTCGACCTGATGTTAAGTCTCAATTCTCATCAGCTGCCGTGTCACAAAAATGGCTCAGAGTAAAAGTTGCCATCCTAAGTTCTCGAATAGTTTTAGTAGCGATCGGACACACGTGTGCCCTGAGTGTCGCATTAGGTCACAAATTTACAGTTTCGTGGCTGTAAATTTTTGTATTAACATCAATTTTAAAATGATAAATATATAACTTATATGCATCACAATCTGTGTACATAAAAAGCAAAACCTGTTTGTTATTCCTGACTAATAACAATCATTTTCTAGCCCAGAGCAAGCCCGTGTGGTTAGTCCCTATCAGTACGTACTTGACACGAGTGGTGGTCTGGATCTTTGGCAGGGTGATGTTCATCTTGCCACCTTGAGCATGATGTGTCCTGGGCTTGGTCTGGATCAGGTCAGGGGCAGTGCGGATGGACACCTGCTGCTGAAGACCTCCGGCAATGTTGCCCCTGCTTGTCAGTACAAAGGAGTAGTCTGTGTCTGGCTGCAGCTGCGTGATCAGCTTCCTCTTCAGGTTTCCCATCACTTCCACGCTTTGCTGGTTATACAAGATCTGTAAGCACACGGGGGGAAAACTTGGGAGTTGTGATTTACGGCAGCACAGATATACAGCCTGAATATCGTTTGCTCACACGCACCACTCTCTCTTCCCTGTCAAACGCATACATGAGGAAAAAAAAAAGAGAAAAGCAAAAACAGTATGGTCCTAAGGGAGGTGCCCATCTTATCTGACACCTCATCTCAAGTGCTTCAAGCGTCGCACTCGCCCACTGGCGCATATCCAATGTTCTTTTACACCTTAGATTGTCTTTGCTCCCCTATCATTTGGGTGGGAATTGATATATCACTTTGACAGATTATTACACCTCATAAACGAGCATGAATTGGGATTTTCATATTTTTTTGTGCAAATACAAAAAGTGACTCAATCATATTGCGATAAGTGTCAGCACCTAATATTGCTTTTTCATATTACAAATGGCTGTACAGCATGTCAGACCATGTTATTGAAGTAGAATAAGAGTTGTTTTGTTTTTTTTAATCCAGCGTTTTTTAATTTAAATTGTACTGCAAGTATTTTGTCTGTGCAAACCGAGTTCATATTCAATCTTTTTTGCACCTCATGTCAGTAATGGCCGTCTACCTGGCTGGTACTTACCTTAAAAGGTGCTTGGGGTTTGTAGTTTGGCGGCAAATCCCAGGTGAGCAAGACGGACGTTTTCATGACAGCTTTGACACCAAAGTTCAGGGTGGGGAAAGCTAGGATGAGGAAAATCCACTCATTAATACCTCAAGTAAGACATCTTGTACACCACAAAAAGTAATCTCTGTGCATAATTTCATTTCACACTACTATAAAGCAGCACACGAGCAAGTCGCCCCTTCAGTAAACAACGCGAACATATTCTGCTGTAATTCCTTATGACCAAACCTGAAAAGCCACAGGAGTGTTCAGAGAACATTAACAATCGCATTCACGCTTGATTACCGATCATACAAAAATAGACTCCATTTCCCTGAGCCTGTCCCATTTATTGCCGCCCATTCACAAGACACACTCAACAGGCCGAGATCACCGCGATTACCAAGAAATGCGTATGACATGAGGAGTGGCAACGTGTGTCTTAAAACAGGCATCGTGCATGGTTATAAATATGAAATCTTTCATTTATAAGATTCTAAAATGCATGAGAAGCTACATGCTGGGTAACATTTAGATTTGTGTGTAATAGGAGGGAGGACGAGGAGGCATGGTAATGTGACTGTAGCGTGTAATGAGATTAGTACTCTATAAATCAATAAACACAGTCATGTACTACAGTATGCTGAGTGGAAGATGGGAAAGACTGCACCGATAAAGTTTAAAACAGAAGCGAGTGACATGTGTTTGTGGTGAGCAATGACACAACTGTGCGCGCCTAAGAGTGCCAATGTTTATGCAAGCACGTCATTATGTTTTCATATCAAATATCTCTGAAGTGTTTATGTATAAATGTTAGTCAGATGTCCTACCACTTATCCTACCATTCGACATGGTCCTGCTCTGAATGCTGGGGCTGAGGGGTCCGCCGCCCTTACTGGTGAACGCCTGCACCCGGATGTCGTAAGTGGTGTCAGGTTTAAGGTCCTGGATAGTCATGTGTGTTTCGGTGGTGCGGTTGGTGCTGTTTGTCTGACTGTTGATGTCCCTGTATACCACCAAGTAATGTGTGATCTTGCCATTCCTTTCCGCTAGCGGCGGGGGCTTCCAGGTCAGCTGGGTGCTGGACTGCGTCAGGCCCGTAACTTGGAGGTTGGACGGGAAGCCTGAGGGCACGTCTTCGGGTGTGCTGATCTCCTTAACGTGAGGTTCGCCGATGCCTGCACGGTTACGCGCGCTGAGGCGGAAGACGTAGGTGGCGCCTTTGTGCAGGCCGGTGACAGTATGGTGGTCGTCAGTCTTTCTCATCTCGCGCGAGGTGTAGGTGTCCTCGTCGGTGCGCTTGTACTGCAGCTGGTAGCCCATCAGCTCCCCCACCATATCCTTGGGGGGCTGCCATTGGAGCAGTGCTGTGTTGCCCATGGTGGTACTAATCATCATACTGGGTTTGCCTGGCACTGGTTGAAGTAGAGATTTAAATAGGAAAAAAATTACTTGCACTGTAATTACTTTATAAGTGAAAGACATATTTTTCAATTCACATCAAATTTGAGTTAATGAGTAAAAACCTGTATTCTATCTAAAGGCCACAAGATGGCGATAGTTGTGATTGTGAAGTCTATGGAAAAAGACTTGACCTCTGTAAACACTTCACTTGCTCTTAGTCACTCGTTTTGGGTCGTACTGAACAAAAGACATTTTGTAATCTTTGGTCGTACCATGTTTCAACTAGTTTGATTTTCTTTGATATTTTTCAGCCATTCATTGGCTAATGATTCGTGATTGACAAAGTCATTACTCAATGAGCAAATGATTTCCAAAGCAAGACTCCACACTAACAGATTCACATGAAAACCCCACTAACACTGATTCTGACCTGCTCCAGTTGTGGTGATGACTTTAGCTTTGCTACGAGCACCATCTCCCTTCAGGGTGTATGCTGCTACAGTTACAGAGTAGGTGGTTTCAGACTGCAGCCCACCAATTATGGCCTCCTGTAAAAGTGAAAAAGAAAAAAAAATCACAAGGTCAGATGTTAACAGGCGTCAGTGAGCCTGAGCGAAACCTCTTCAACCACCCTCTCACACAAGCTCCGATCCCCTGGCAAACACACAGCACCAAAGGAAACCACAGTAAGATTAACCCCCCTTCTCCAACCACGTGTGGGTTCTTGAGCAATTAGCCTAAAAACAAAATATGTCAAACTTTTAATAGAGAAAGAAGGCACACAAACAGGCCCAGGAACTTTTCTTGGTACTGAAAAGCTCCTGTACCTAACTGTAAGGAACACGCTGAACCCATTAACTAACAAACCAACTAAATTAATCAGAACATCACCCGTGTGTCAGTTTTCATGCCTGCTGCATGGGTAAGCATGAGATAATACCCAGAGGAGCTTAAGTTCATTACTAAACAGACTATTAAAACCCACAAAATAGTACACCGACTGTGGGACTGCTGTTAAAACTCTTTGAAAATAATCCTTCAGATAAATAAACATCAGGATGATTAAAAAATTTTTTAAAGAATAAGATTATTGGGACTTATTCTCCTCTGGCTGATTGCCCAAACAGTCTCTACACAAAAACACAGACACACTACGGTGAATGAACAAATGAGTAACTCAGCAGTCAGGAATGAACAGACAGAAAAACAACTGAGGTAACACACTGTTACGGGTAACCTGCTGCAGTGCTGGCACTCACTTTACCACACTGCATCAGTCTGAATAAAAACACACCCACACGCTGGAATTAAATACTCTGAGCTTGAACAAAGCCCATATCCAAACAAACAAACAAACAGAAACACACACGCAGGAATACACATACTAATATACATAAATGAAGGATACACACAGTATACATGCACGTAAAATGTGCACATCAGCACGCACACATTGGTATACACACACATGCACACGCGCAACAACTTAATGCCTTCGGCTTGAGCGCACATGCTGGAGTTGTCCGGTTCTGACTGGGGCCGCTGAGAGGACGAACACACAGATGCCTACGAGCCTTCCTGCCGGAACTTCTCGCAAACTTCTCAGACGCTTGGAATATTATACAGCCTTGCCCTAACGCTGTTTCTCCAACTAATGAAGTTTTAATTTCCTAACCATAGAAGAACATTAAACAGTCTACATAACCCAGCGCTGTTTGACGGTGGTTTTTACTGCCTCTCTCTTTAAGGGACATTTGGTGCTCCCCTGCTAACCTTTAAGAGAGATGGGGGAAAAATGCTAAATTACTGTATCATAAAGCCATTTTCACTTTATGGAGGAAGTCTCATTACTTTAATCATGCAAAATGGCTTTAACAATCTCAGCAGTGGCAGCTGCACAGATCGGTCCTCTCTCCATTCTGACAAGGTTGATTCAGTTCTAGCAACACTTTTAAAACTCAGCAGAAAATAGAAAAACCCAGACTTCAAAGTTCCCTTTAGAGCAAATGCTTAGAACAGCACCAAAGTGCATTATAGAGATTAACAAGTCGACTAGTTATAGAAATGGATTCTTCTCTTCAAGCCTCTCAACACCACTATCCTCACTAGAGTGGAAAAATACCAAGAGAAAAATGGGCTGCACTGTTAAAACAAATCCCTTCAGATAACTTTTTGCTCAAGATTAATATTTAATGTCCTCTATGTGCATCTTCTGCTTTTTAACGCCAGCCAAAATTTCCCGAAAGCTAAAAAAAACCTCCCTGAGAACAAAGCCATGGGTCAGTAACGCAGGCTTATGTTTTCAGTGTTGACATCTGCCTCATACTCTATTAGCTACCAAGCACAAAGTCTGCTGTGGCCTAAACATGGCTGCTGAAGAAATAATAAAGATGTGTGAACAGATGTCCTCCTCTGACAGCGTGTAGCTCGCTGTCTGTCAGGTGTTAATCAACGCATTAAGAGGAGAGGGAGAAGAGGCGAGCCTGACTCATGCCATGTGGGTGTAGCTTGAGGAATCCGTGTGCCAGCCAGGTTTCTGTTTAACTTGGTGCAAATAGCAAATAAATACGACAGCGTGCGCACTTCCCACTGGCTCGTATACGAAACTAACTGATATGATAAAGAAAGAACAAAAAGAGATCAGCCTCAGCCTCTACAGGTGGTTACTGATCCATTAAGTTTTCCATTTGAAATGTCGGCAGGTGAAAAAAAGGAGTGAAAATATCCCAAATGAATTCTTTTTTTTGGACTTTCTAAAAGCTGAAAACCTTTTTCTTAACATATCTTTGCCCTTGTTTATACACTGAAAATAGGATCCGTTAATCTGGCAGACTTCTATTGAATTTTTTGACTGGGTACAGTAAGTGGCTCTGCATTTATGCCAGTGCAATATGACGTCTAGGGGGTAGTAAGCCATAACAAAGAGCTGCTTGACAGCCACGTAGCAGCGAGCTGCAAACCAGGCACGTGAAAAGAACATGAAAGGCTGGTGGCAATTTCGGAGATGTGTGGAGCTGATAAAAGACACAGCTCCTCCCCTCAGATAGACATGTCATCTGAAACAGCGGGGAAGACAGCAGGTTAGGCGAGGCCGATTAATGTCGGCATCACACGGGGATAGTGACACAAAACCTTTGACTGCACTGTAAGCTCAATGGGGGAAGATGCTTCATGCGCGCTGTACAGAATTGCCTCAGTTCACCTGCAACTGCCCAGCTGTTTCTACAAGGTTCTTTCTTCTGGTAAAATAAGCCTGCATCAGATCTTGCTTTGAAGTTGTAGGAGCTCTTAGACTAAATCGCACTAACTCTCTCTCTCTCACACACACACGCGCGCAAACACAAACACACAAAAGAAAACATTTGGACACACGTTTCGTGCTGCGGTTATGATCTCTCCTGAGGGTTCACACAGACTAGATTAAAGTCACACACCTTGCACAGAAATGAACACACATCCACGCACAACTCATAATCCAAACACACAAGCACCCCCAAACTGCAAAAAGGAAAAGAGCTTGCCCTGCAAGAGAACCCAGCAGCACACATGTGGGTTACTCACATGCTCGGTGGATTCCTCAATATTCCACTGATGGAGAGAAGACACAGGACACAGGGTGGGGAGAGAAATGAGTCAGAAACAACACAACAGCCATGGAAAAAAAGCGCTCGTCTTTTTTTCGCCGACAGATGAATGTAGGTGTCAGCAGAGTCGTGTGGTGGAACAAAACAGTGGGATAGAGTGTGATGGAAGAGAAGGAGTAAAAAAAAAAAAAGACAAGTTGAGTGGCATACAACAAATTGCGTAACCATAATTGTAATTTTTTTTTTTTATTGTTTAAATGCACTGCCTTGTTTTTGGTTTGCCTATGAATCCAACAAAAGCCCCCCTCTTTCTCAATCAGGAGACTTCTATTCGCTATGATGACTATTACACTATGGATAAGAACTGTAAACTCTGCACAGTCCGTGAAGCATTTCCTTTTTTCTTACAGAAATTGAGGGAAGGCCTTTTATTCATTATATTTCAATATGTATTCAAAATGTTCTCCTTGCTCGCTGTGCCTGGCCAAGTGATTCCTGGGGGAAGTGAAAGCCCATTTCGTGCCGCGGGGCTCCGTCAGTGCCGAGCATGAAATCCTATTACCAGTGCTGCTATGCTAGCCCTGTGACATCAAACCCCATCGATGCAGAACGCCACCGCTGGCGTTTACCAGCAACGTGCTCCACAGTTCAGTTCCTGCAGAGGGGTTCACTGAGGGGTGGCCCGGCTGACAAGGGGCAGGAGAGATGACACTGTTGACACTGATGAGGGACAAAGTGGAGAACAGAAAAAGGGGGGTGGGAGTGCGGGTGAGGACGGTGGAGTGAAGGAAAAAAATGTTATCATTAGGGTGCACGAGTATTGTCACAGCTGCTTGTGGACTGTACCACTGAGGCGAACACTCAAAGGGGAGAAGCAATTGACGTGGCTGGGACAAAAATCAATATTTAACCACCAAGAATTACTGTGAATGGGCCAGTGCCCCCAAATGTATTACATAATATTAACTCCAGTGGCGTTGTACTTGCTAACACTTGTGTCCATTAACTATACAAACAAGACCAACTTAATGTCATGCGTTGTCAAGCACTGAGAAAACACACGAAGAGCCGTCTTCATCTGCCCAGCATCAACACTTTGCAGGATCATTTTATTAACGTGACCAGAGTTTAACCGGGCAGGAGTCTGCAAAAAACACAAATACTTGGAAGTAAAGCCGGTCTTCCTGATCACCCATCACTCCCTCCTTACTGTTCTAGGCTTTCACAAACAAAAGGAGCAAGCCTCACACGCTGCTGATTTATTGTGCGGTGGGGAGACGGTGTTCATCATCCTCTATTGACTGTTGGCATATGAAAAGACAAAAGACCCAACTTTTCCTCCTCCCTGTGGATGGTCTTTATTACCAAGCAGTTAAGTGAAGTATGAGCAAGGCCTCTGTAAGGTCTCAGTTGTGACTGGTTGAGGCACACGGCACATCAAAAACTGCTGCCTCATGCTCCCCAGACATAACGGGGCACTAAAGAGTACCATTAAAGAACAGCTGCTACTTAACTCCATGAATAACAGTTTGCAATGTTCCTAATTGCTTAATTTGTTTACTGTCAACTTCACTCAGTATGTCAACAGAGCAAGCAACACATTAAGGTTCGCAAGAGTTCCTATCTCATCTCGGGCTTAATTCCTTCCTATCGGAACTGCTTTTGCTTCTTTCTTTCTTTTTTGTTGCTTAAATCCATGGGAGAATTATAAATTATCCTCCATTTATATTTCAAATGCCAACGCAAGCTGAAAACACATCATTGCTGATAAGCGTCGTTTGTGGAAACGGAGCGGTATAATTTGCAGGCGGGTGAATGCAAATGTGATGACATGGGCTGAGATGTGTGGCTATAAAAATGGGAACGAGGGGGGAACGAGTGATGTGGAAGAGAAGGAGCTGTCATGATTGATGGAGTGAAACGGGCTGAGGTGCTTCTTTTCTCTTTTTTTCCTCCCCCCCCGATTCCCATTCGACGCCAATCTGAGGCGGCGAAGGCCGTAGAGGCAGTGAAGCATTGCCTCGCTCACACAAACTACAAAAACGCATGAGTGGTCAAACAAAATGAACCTGGAAAGTAGTGCTGAATAAAGGCAAACTTGTGAAGGAAGGCAAACTTGTGCAGAAAATGTATGAAATCACAGACAGCGGCTAATGGCTTCAAACTCAATCACAGCACTTTCTGCACACTTTTATGGATGTGTATATGAAATACACTGCCACAGAGGTTGCTGCGAGTGCACCGTGATGGAGCAGACCGTGTGGTGTGGGAGCTGCCAACTCAGGTCCAGGCCACTTTTCCAACAGAAGTATTTGCAAAGGGGTCGATAACATCACACTGTTAACATGGCCTCTGGTTTAAATTTAGCAGGGAAATGAGGGCGCTGTGTGGGCTCCTGCTTGAAAAGAAAAGAGGCGCTTAAACCGCCCACGCACAGCCGAGCTCTCCTAGCTCTCCTCCCAGTATTTCAGCTAACCCTGAGAGAGGGCGAAAAGGAGAGGAGCCAGAAACACAGAGACAAAGAGAAGGGGAAAGGTGATAGCCATTTTGACAGGATCTGCAATTCAATCAGTCGGCTTAGAATCGTGATTGAAGGTGAGGCTCAGGTATGATGTGAGAGCCCTGGAAAATTTGGATTTTTCTTTTCCTCTTGGCAAGCTTACTGTGAATCCAATTCAGGTAAAAAGGGTGGATGTGGAACCGATTTCACAACACATTAGGGAAATTCATGAGAGAAACACTATGGGATGTGCCAGGATAGAAGGATATTGCTTTTTTTCCCCGTTTTATTCATCATCAATTACAGGTGTGCGTATGAGGGATTTGCATGTCTCTAGGATGAGTCATGAACACCTCTCGGCCAGCTGGAACACCTACTACAAGGTCGGTCTAACACGTGATCGTGTTTGCGCATGTTATCTTTGCTAGATTTTTTTTTCTAGTTGTTGTGGTGCGTGAATGGAAAGATGTGTGACAAAGAAGGGATTGTTCTAAAACCAGTTGGGCGAACAAGGATAAGGGACCGTTGGCTGACTGTGTGGTCTTTAATGACGTCTGGGCAGGTCCTTGCAGGTTGGTTACTCAGTGCTGTCTCATAGAAAACAATCTGTTGAGATGACTCAATCAAGGGTAACCAACCTGCACGCAAGCCTCTGGTAATTACTCAACCAGCTTTTTAAGCAGCGAGAGTGCAAAAGGAGGTCACGGCAGAAAAGGAAGAAAACCGAAGGGAAGGAGAAGAGGAAAATAATAGAAGGTGTGAGAAGAAATTTAGCCGTCTGCCAGGGAGGGGACAGTCTGTTTGAGAGGTGTCCTGGACACTAGACTGGAACATGAGAGCTATCCCGGGCGCCAAATTACAGTGCGTCTTTGTGTTTATTGTGTGAACATGGCACAAATGAGACATGGCAGGGAGAATTGTTTGCATAACAAGTAGGGTCATGTTCAGTTCAGTTTTTCCACAATGCAAAACAAAATCACGCCGAACATGTCGACGTGGAGAAAACACTTACAGGAAGACAAGCAGCCACCATGTTTTCTCCCTTTCCAGATCAAGCGATGCTGTCCTGTCTGTCAAGCACTCTTGTAGACAGTCTGATAACAATGAACTGTCAGTAGCAGCTGCCAAACACTACTGCTGTAAAATAAAGGCTGACTGTGCTCGGGAGTCAAGGCAGTTCTCTCCGTCCAGGTGCAGACATCAACGGGCTGTACTGTATCAGTCAATCACTTGCTGTGGAGACTTGTGTGAGTTTGACAGCCACATATAAATGATTTATGATGTTTTTCTGTGTTTTTTTTAAAATCACAGAATATGTCATTACACAACTGGAATCCACAAGCTCCTACTTCTCATCCCTTGGGATGTAACACACTGATTCATCACATTGTGACTCTAACAGTGTTTCCACTTGTGTAAGGATGAGACACAGGACAGCAAACGAGGGTTAATAACTCTTCTCAAAGGGAAAGGCAGTTTGCACTGCTTGGGAACTGAACCAGCAACTTGTTGGTCTGCCACAGCTGCCATTTATCAGCAAACAGAGCTCAGATAATATATATATGTGGGTGGTTTTCTTGTGGCCAGGGAGCACTTCCTTGTTCAAATTAGATGCTTTTGTGGAAGACCACTGAGGGCGGGAGTGAATGCGTGCTCGTGCAAATGTTACTCGCGGCAAACAATCAGAAGGAGGTTCTTAAGCTGGTCTCTCCTCTCTCAAACACAGAGAGAAAAAAAGCAGTACGAGTGCGGTTTTAAGATATTCATGAATCTCTGAATCCCTCTTAAGGATTACAATCTCTCATCCATCTCATGGCGTTGCACAGCTTTGGGCCATTCCAAGCAGCTTGCATTAATGCGTAAAGGGCGGTGTCAGGAAAATAGCTCTAATTTATAAACATGGTAACAAGGCAGTGCATATGTATTACTGCTAAAACCGCAAAGAGAGGTGCATTGATTCCACTAAGCCACGTCCTGATGTAACACATATAAAATATTTAATAGCTATTACTGCAGAATTAAAGTGGATCTTATTAGGACAGCTAATCCAAAGCTGTAGGAGCAGGGTACCAATTTAGAGTCAAATGTCACATGTGGAGAAAGATGAAAAAGACGAAGAAGAAAAAAAAGAGGGGAGGATGGAAACTCCAGTTGACAAGATAGAAAATTCCATGTGTGTCACCCAGTATGGGGGAAATGAAGTGTGAACTCAGACAATGGAAGAGAATAGGGAGGCAGCAGGGAATGAAAATAATGGTAAATGAGCATAAAACAGATATAGACAGTGAGGAAGAAAAGCAGAAAGACCAGGCAAGAGTAAAACATCATGCAGTACCTGGGCCTCTGGCAAAAAAACATCCATGATGTTAGGCTGGCCTCGCGGTTCTCCGTTTTCGAGCCGGGAGAAGACGACCTGGTAGCCTCGGATTTGGCCGTGCTGCTTCCCCTGCAGGGGTGGCTTCCAGGTGACTCGGATAGCTGTGGAATTTATGGCCTCAACCTCCACTTTCCTAGGGGGTGCTCCCGGCACTGGAAATCAGACAAGGACGAAGGGCAGATTAAAAGAGTAATACAGAAACACAGACAGATGGAGGGACAGTGGAAAGGATGAGAAGAGAGTAAAGAGAAAGAGACGAGGTCGTGACTTATCTTATTTTACTTCGTTTTGTAAACAAATCGAAATTCTGGGGTGCTGTGTATAATGAAGTGATGCATGTACTGACCATGAATTAATAATTTCTAGTCACTTTAGACCTTCTAAGACTACTGCGTCCCAAAAACACCCCATGTGGGACAGCATGTGGTCTAGCAATGTCTGTAATGCTCTTAATTCCAGAATGAAATAAGCCGTGTTGCAGCAAACTTCAAACACGTTAATTATAGTCGACACTCTCTTAGGAGAAGCCGCCCTCTATCACACTGCAAACAAAATGAGTGAGAAAAAGGGGAAAGAGAGACAGAGTGAAAAAGAGGGAGATTTGGTCCACTTTCATTCCTCAGAACAGTAAAAGAAGACAAGAAGCCAGTGAAACCAGAGTGGTGGAGAACTGAGGCCTGGGAGTGATCAGTCTTAACCCACAAAAGGTGCAAAGGCCATAGACAACAAGCTGGAAAGAGGAGGAAACAAAGAAAAGGTGAACCCTGCTGCCACGACCACCACCTCATTATCTCAAAATTCATCAGCAGGACGAAGGAAATTGTGGTGTAACATCTGAAGAGGGTGAAAGACAATCGTCAAAGGCTGCCGCAAGCAACAGAGAGGAAAACAGTTTGAGAGCACTCTGCTTCAAGGGAAGTATCAACCTACCATCCTCTTTGGTTCTCATCCTCACTGGGGCACTCTCAGGACCTGGGCCCACATCAGTGTGTGCCCTCACCCACACTTGATACTCAGTCCACTTCTCCAGGCCCTCCAGCACATGGCTGGTAGCGTCTGCACCGATCCCAGTGACCTCGTGCTTGTCCGTGTCCTCTCCAGCCAGGGCCTGGTAGCTGACTGTGTAACGCACTATGGCACCATGGCGGCTAGCGGCAGGTGGTGCCACCCAACTCACCTTGAGGCTGGTGGAGCTCAGGCTGACCAGTTGTACGTCCTGAGGAGGGGCGGACGGGGCTGTAGGGGGAGGGGAGTAAAACCACACGAAGGAAGGGCACGGATCAAGCAAACAAAAAATAAAGTACAGCACAAGCAAAAAAATAAGGGAAAATCTATGGAAGCTTTTTGTATAACAGTCAATATCAAAATTTGAAATGTCATATTCAGAATCACAAGATGTTTTTTATATTTCAAATTTGTCATTATACTGTATGAATACAGCACAGCTCTATTCATACCGGGGACATCGTGCGATGAAAATTTACCCTTCGCTGTCTGTTTCCTGTGGCCCATTTACACAAGATAAATATTCTGTTTTTAACTCGAATGTACTAAAATCTGAGGTCAGCGTGTGTGGTTCTATTTCATCATCCTTTGAGATTTCCCTGAGCAGGAGCCCTCCATGAATGGGTCTTCACGCTGTGTAGAGATGTAAGCCTTAATGAAAATACTGGTAGGTAATTCGCAGTGGGATTTCTTTTTACTTTACATATTCACATGAGATTAAGATCATGTGACACCTCCACAATTACTCCAAACTGCTAGAGGTCCACAGTTTACGGCAGTGCAGATGTTAATTAGGAAATTCAAATCTTTGTGAACATAGGCACTGAATTTGATATATGGTATAGGTTGTTGCTTTGTCCCATCTCCCTTTTATTCTTATTTCTCCCCTTAACTCCCAGTCGGTCACAGCAGATAGCTGCAACTCTCTAACCTGGTTCTGTCGGAAGTTTTTTCCTCTCAAACGGGAGTTTATCCTTCCCACTGTCGCCATGTGCTTTGTTCTGATTTTCTCTCCTACGTCTCTTACATCTTAAGGTACTTTATACTGATGTAGTGATTAGGCACTATATAAAGAAAACTGAACTCAAAATCGTCTATGTTCATGTTAAAGTACTAACGTACACGCTTATGTATTTCCCCTGCAATTAAACAAGCGAGTTTAATGTAAGAATGTAAAAAGTATAACAGGATTGGATGCACAACACACATTTGTATAAATTGTAACCAAACTGCTGTTTTTCCAAAGTAGTAAAGGCTCATTTAGAGTCCCTTTGTGCATGGGCAATATATTTATCAATATATCATTGCACGTCTGAATATGAAATTTAAATTTTTAAATTGTGACCACAAAAAGCTTCCATACTGCACAGGATGCTGCCTCCAGACTGAGAGATTGGATGCAAAAACACATTAGCGAACCGTTGCTGAAGCTGTGTTTGGCACTGCATTTATGCAAGAGGCCATGAGAGTGCAGGGTGAGGTGAACAGAATATAAAGTACACCAAAATTCTACAGGGCAACGTTTTTATAAAAGCGTAATTTGTCCCTAACTGCCCTCTGTGTCGCCTCTTGCAGGAAACAGAGGTAGAAACGAACTGCCACAGATTTGTAAGTGGTGAACAAGTGCCTGATAGTGTTGACTGGTGTTTGCACATTCATGCAGAAGCTCTGGGCCTGATTACGGCACTTGGCTGCAGCTGAGCTACACTACATATTTAGTTATAGATAAAGCTATAATTTTATAATCAATAACCGTTAGAAACATTACAGGCACTGTCCACGTCTGGTTCATACTCACTGCCAAGAAAAGCTGATTTTTTTATTTCTATCAGATGGAATAAATTCCACTCCTCGCTAGAATCACAGCAGGAACGTACCAGTCCACCTCACCCTGTAATGCCTTATAATGTAATGGGAAAATGGAGTCTAATAACATTCCTCAAATAAATAGTTATTGCGTTAAATTTAATTATGGACAACAGCTTCAGCTTAAATACAAAAAACTCTCAGGTCAGGAGGTAAAAATAGAAAACCAATGACATACAAAATGAAGAACAAAAAGGGAAACTGAAAAGAAACGATTGCATTCAGACACTTCATGCAACTAGCTAAATCTAGAATTTCTTTATTCTACGAAAAACAACCTTCAAATCAAAAGAGAAAATTCAAAGCAAGATGTTTCTGTAAAAGCATGCCTGTGAAATGTATTCTTTAATAAGCAGAGAAATGAACAGTGAGCTCAAATATTATTCCAATAAACTAATGCCCGAATATAAAACTCCACCTTTACAAAACAGCACTTGACAAAAGAGGAGTGAGTCTCACCAGGTGGCCCCTGATCCACCAGAGAGTAGACAGAAAACCACAAAACCTTGACAACACCACATGTATTAAAAAATTAAAAAGCTACAGACTGAATCAATTCTCATAAGAGATTGCAGTGGTAAAATTGGACGGCTCAAGGACACCACCACAAGAAAATGTCTCAGAGGGAAAAAAATAGGGAACCAAAGAGTCGGCTTAAGAAGGAGATACAATTATTGAAGTGACAGAGCCCAAAATCCCGTCTCTATGACATTATTATGACCCCGTTTCTGTCAAATGTGAGAAAAACAGAGACACATGAAATGTTGAAACTGGTTACTTGTTACTTTGGCTCTGCATTCCACCACAACAGAAATGGATGACGTCACATCCATTTTTATACAGCGAGCTCTTCCTCCATGAGCTGATTTTTAGTATTATTAATGCATCATAGTGTTTGATGTGTTGAACCCACTGCAGGGTTCCTACCACCTTTTTTACAAGTAGAGCAATGCACAGCAAAAATATTTAAAAACAAAAACATGAATAGAGCTCAATACTGTTCATTTCTCTGAGTCTTAAAAAAATGATACTAAATATTTAAATGGAGCACTAGAAAATGTCACACTTTCCCACCGCCTGCTTGCCTCAGAACCTTCCCAAAGCTGTTGCTTATTTCATGCACACGATCCTACCAGTGCCTGAAATCCAAATTATTTCTGCCAAATTCTGTGTCTACTGACAGCAGAAGGCACAAGGACCATCAGCACTCATGGTCTCTGCTTACAGTCATGTGCAGCTGACAGAGGTTAGGTTTTCATTCGTTTTCTCTGTTCTATGGGAGAAATGCAACTGCATATAGTACATACCCAACTGCAATTCCACAGGGGTGACAGGAATGTTGCTGTTCATCTGATTTTTAATTTTTTTTTACATTTTTCTTGAAATTTCCGATGATCTGTGTCTGTTTGTATGTATAACATACAGAAAATCTAAATCTGATTCTTACTTCATTGTCCCACTTTCCCCTCCTGCTGCAGCACTGCTTGACAGGCAGGTTTATGTGGCAGATATGTGTAAACGTTAGTGTTTGACACCTGATAATTGTTCATTTACACCAGTGTTCACATTCACTATTTATGTTAATTTTTTGATCAGCCTTAATCTTGAACCTTTGATCATTTTCCATCGTTAAACGTGTCTCTTATCAGCCTTATATCCACTCTGTAAGCTGGCGTCGGTACTCCGCTAAAGAGCTTTTGTGAAGGAACAAACTCATGATGTAACACCTTTGTAAAACTCTGTGCCTTTTGTTCCAAATCCAGCAGAGTGATAAATCTCCTCTCTAGTCGTCTGTAGCGCATCAGTCAGTTTTAGGAGTCACTTTCTCAGGAGTTAAACTTTTATTCACATAATCGCTACAATTAAAAGTTAAAAGTGACATTTGTTCTGTTCTCAGTTTTATGTGTGAGGCACACACGCACCGTGGGACAAGCGCCGTGCCACATCAGCACAAAAATGAAATAAATAAATAAAAGAAAGAATCAGTCAGCTGGCAGAGAGTGACATTTTGAGTGCTGGCACTGTAAAAGCACATAATGATATGAGACAAAACAACAGCACAGCTCGCAAATGTGGGAACCAGACACATTAAACGTACCTTTGACACAGGGCCTGCCCTCAGATAGATGGACATGAGGGTTAGTGTTGGTGACAGAGGGGAGGTGGTGGAAGCATGAAGCTGACCGGGATAGCTGCACTGTCAGCATTTTATGTGGCGCTGAAATTGACTTGACATTCAAGTTGCCCACGCTCTTTGATTTAAGCGCTATAAAACTCTACTTTTGTCTCACTCGCTCAGTCACTCGCTCACACTGAACAGAACAACCTAAACCTGCAGCAGCCGGCTGAGGGTGGCTCTGAAATCACTGGTTAGTGCAATAAAAAGTGGAAAGAAAGAGGACAGGGACAGCTTCAAGACAGACGAATGGGTACTTACTGGACTGGGCAGTGCGGGCCTCGATGGGCTGGGTGTAGACACCCAAACCCATTTCAGAACGGGCGGCCAGGGAGAAATAGTACAAAGTGTCTGGCTTTAAGTTCTCTACAGCATAGGAGCCTGCAGGGTTGAAGGTCACGTGAATCTGGAGGGTGTAACAGTGGAAGGAAAAATGTCAGAAGAACTCATCAGAAGCAAAGACATTCACACAAACCTACTCACGGATTGAGCTGTTTTGCTTTAACAAACTGAAGTTACTCTGCCACTGAAGAGCACAAGTTGCTGTCTCTTATTCATATATGCGTTCATATTTGAGAATACAGTCAAATTTGAGAGCCATGTGATTCAAAAACGATTTGCCCTCAACTGGTCCAGTTGAATGAGAGGACAAAAAAGAGACTCTACATCATCAACAGCAACATTCATATATCTGCAGACTCCCTACAGATATAAGAAAAGACGCACGAATAGATTTTTATTCTAACCTTATTGTCTGAGCCAGCTTCCCAGTACTGCAGCTCATACTTGGTGATGGGGTCCTGTACGGGCCACAGCCACGTCAATACGATGCGCGTGTCCAGCTCGGCTTCAGCCTCAAAGCTGGATGGCTGGGCAGGGACTGGTAAAGAGTAGGTGAGAGGGCGAATGTTAAAGAACAAAAAGAATCAAAGAGAGGATGTTACTAAAGCTCCTGCAAAGATCACCTCCATAACTTTTACTGCATGGCAGATGAACCTGTGCATAAATCACCTAAAGAGCAGTTTCCCAGACACTCAGTATGCATAATGAACACAAAAGCAGGAAAAACTACAGACCTTCAACTCATTGTATATGCTTAATCACACCTTTAACCTTGTATGTGCATGAATAGAGATGTTAAAAACACTGAAATCCAGACACAGTGGTTGGTTGCTCACCTCCCTGCTGGGTCTTGACTTGCAGGATGTCAGATGGTGGCCCATCACCAACAGAGGTGAAACCCAGCACTCTGAGGCTATAGGTGATATCGGGAGTCAGTCCTGAGATGGTAGTTAGGCTGCTATCGTCTGTGTTGTGTTTATGCCAGGCGCTGAGTGGCGCTGTCATGTCAGAGCTGTAGTAGACTCTGTAGCCCCTGATTTGCCCATTGGGTTCCTCGGGTGGTTCCCATTGAACTAACATTGTGCTGGCGCTCAACATCCGCGCTTGGACGTGTAGAGGCGGTGAGGAAGGGGCCTGTTCACCTGTGCGTGTCTCCACAAGGTCGCTGGGAGGCCCGTGGCCAATGTTATTAACAGCCATGACGCGAAACTCATATTCAGAGTACGGACTAAGCCCGCCGATGCTGTAACGGTTGGTAGCCACACCTTCGACTTCCTGGAAGCCATTGTCGGAGGATTTGGCTCTGTACTGGATCATGTAGTAGGACACAGGTTCTGGGTTTCCAGACTCCCATAAGAGAGTTACACTGGTAGCTGTGGTTTCAGTCACCCTGAGCGAGGTGGGGGGTTTTGGTAAGGCTGAGGAGGGAGAAGCAAAATATTAGCTTTAAAGAACTGAAATGAATTACTTAAAAATAACAATTCTTGTTACCTTGTGGGAAAAATACATGGTACAGTGCTACATTAGGTAACTCCTAGAAAATAGCTGTGTTTCGTGGCCTAATTTTTATAACAGTCACCACCATTATTCCCCAAAATAAAGGAAATAGACTGAAGTCGCTTAGTCCAGCCTGTCTATCTATCTCTCAAAACACAAGCAAACTGTTCTGTGGTGACAAATGCAAACAAAACAAAGGGTCTGCATCACAGCTTCCTTAAAGGAGTTGGCCTGGATTGCCGCGGTCCCTCTAATGACTGTGGCATTTTGTGTATTGACCAGTAGACTGGAAAGTAAATCAATGCAGACAAAAACTGATAAGAAAGGCTGCAACAAGTAAACAACACAGTCACAATGTTGTAAACACAAAGACGGTTGGAGACGCATTCATGTCGACAGATAGACACTGAAAAAGGACAGAAAAAAAAAGTCTGCTTCAAACTAAAGGAAAGAAGCAAAAGTGAAAATGGCCGACCTTCGGGTTGAACTGTAGACGGATGAAGTGCTTTGACGGGGGTGAGTGATGGAATGAAAAGACACAAAGTGAAGAGGAAGACAACAGAGTGAAACAGAAAGGTGTTTCAGTTGAACCAGCAGAGGTTAGAAACATGAAACAGAGATCCAACGTAATGCACCAGGGAGACTTAGACTCAAGCTTAACATCCCGGTTATTATAACAGTGTGATACTGTCAATTTGATCTCATTACCCCACCCCACTTCTACACAGGGGATGCAAGATATGCTCCAGTGCCTTTGTAAAAGTCTTCATTAAGTGACCTGAATTGATTAGCATTGCTCCTAGACACACAAATATACACAAATAGAGCAACATAAGGACACTTTGGTGAAAGAAAAGTTGTGCATTGTGCAAAGTTGCGCAGCATTTTTACGAAAAATGACCTGAGAATGCAGAGAGAAACATAGATTATTATATTTGCTTCAGTGCTGCAAAAAAACAAGACTAAAAGCCATCAACTTTTATTTCTCAGTATCAACAAAGGGTCCTCGACGAATAAACCTTGGATTGAGCACATTCATGTAGATGTGGCTTATTAAGTGCCATGCAACCTCAGAAATAAACGGGCACTAACTGGTCTGAAAACAGCGCTCACCTTTGACAGTAACTTGAGCAGTGGCTTCAATCATGCCCAGAGAAGAAATGGCCACGCATGTGTAGTTAGTCGATTTGCGAATGTTAGTGACCTCCAGCACATTGCGTCCCAGTGGCATGTCTTCTTCCTTGGTTAGCTCCTCGTCAGGCGTGGTCCACTTGACGTAGGGCATCGGTGAGCCCACTGCCACGCACGTCAGGTTGACGCTGCCGCCCGGCATCACTTCCTGATTGGTGGGTGGAATGGAGAATCTGGGTGGGACTCTTCGCACTGAGGCAATGAAGAGAAGAAGAAAGCGACAGGAGTCAATAGGTAGGAGATGTAAGGTGAGTATTATTCTTTTTGTTAGTGAGAATGATCGTGCCCTAAACAACACCACAAGGCTAAAAGCTAACTGAGAAAAGCTAACAGAATGCAGGGATGATCGCTTTTGTCCAAATGTGCAGGCGAGCACAATGGGAATAATAGGACTGTCACAAAATGCCTCTGGAAATTCAGAAGAAATCTTTGAGGGGGTGTTTTATCCTCTTGCCTACAAAAGGGAATATAATCAAAATAGCCCAGTTTTTGCTGGAGACTGTGTCTGGCCCTCTTTTGTTAGAGTGTCAAGCGGTGGCGAGAGTTGCATCATTGAGAAACCCTGTGGAGATGCTATTGTTTGATTTCTCCTCTCGCTGCCTCTCTCCGGCTCCTTATGCTCAGCCCGTCTTGCTCTCGCTCTCTCTCGCTCCCTCTCTTTGTGCGGTTCTGATATGCAGATAGGCTGACATTAAAAAGGGGTTCCCATGGAGACAAGAAGGGCCCGTTGACGTCGCTAGGGACAAGGCAAACACCAGTGCAGAGGCTCCATACAATACTGAAAAGCTAGCCTAGAATAAACAGGCAACCAGGATTTACATACGACTTGTTTTCTATTTAAATGAAGATGCGCGAGAATGCATCCCATATTTAAACATTTTAGATCTTTTTTTGGTAACTTTTGGCAACTACAACAAAGTTTTTCACTTCACATGAATGCCTGACAGCGCTACGTGAACATCCATCAGTGTCAGACCTGTTACATTTATGACATGCAAGAATATCAATATAGTGCGTGCTAAGAGTAAGGAGGGAGAGCTCTGACTTCTTTAACCGTCAATACAGCGAAGGCGAAGCCTGGCCAAATATTTAGCTCACCGCAACGGATGCATTATTACTGTCCCATTACAGCTGGATGTATGTTTTTAAAGACAACAGCATGAAACTATCCCTGCAGAATTCATACTGCATGTTTCCCCCTAATACACTACAATATCGCTGTCTCTCTCTGGAAAAAAAAAAGCCCTTGACTGTAATTGCTCTTTTGCACCGGTCTACATGAAAATGGATTTTCAAATATGAGTCTCCCTCCACCTCCCCCACCCCCCCACCCCTCCCTCACCCCTTCCTCCCCGATCTAATTTGAACCGGAACGTCGTTACAGCCATGCTTGTTATTCCCCTCATTATGTGGCGAAATGGAAAAACACAAAAGCACCTTTTGAGATTCCAGTCAGGAAAAAGGCTTGTTCTCTGGACTGCACCATAATAAGGGGGACCTGGTTCATATTCATCTGAATTTTCCCATAATAATTGAGGTGCTGTATTTAGACCTTCTGCTGTTTTAATCAACAGAATCGTCTGGGGCTAAACTACTTTGCTCAACACCACAAAAATATTAATATTCCTGGTCTGAGGCACAAAAAGAAAAGAAATCACGGATGTGTTTTCCTGATAACACCGGGAAGACTAAAGAGGTCATTTAAGTTTCGGCACAATATACAATCAAATATTAGATGACAGTTTAATATTCGTAAAGTTAGCGAAGGATATTGGACAACTTTACAGAGTTAATACATTTTTGGAGGAGGAAGAAATTAGCTTAAAAACTTCCACAAATGAGTACATCTGATATCAGGGGATATTGGGAATATGACTGATGACATGCAGAGACTGGACAGGCGGAGTGTTGCCAGGGTGGGAACTGGATGGGTACGACATTCTCAAGCAAAGCAAGCACGGGAGCTGAGGAGAGATATGGAATAGGATAGCGAGTCTGAGTATGCTGGAGGGAAGAGGATAAAGGAGGAACTTTGCACCATTTTCTCACGTTAATGACCGAAGATCTGATTTCCAGCATCGCTAATTTGCAACACCTTTGAGAAAGAAGTGTCAGCATCCCGTTCATGCTGGTGGCCACCTGTGGTGTCTTCCCACACAACTGCAACGCCCTCGAAGTGCAGCAATTTTTTTTCTTCATATGCTTATGAAAAAGAGAAACCTGAGAGGAGCATGCCTAATGTAAAACCATTAAGCTCAAAGTATCTGTTATTCTTTCATCACTCCATAGACTAAACAGTGCTAAGAGCAGTCTGTCAATGGGGTCTGCGTATATTGAACACTTAATGTTGTGAATAATTCATGGCGTGCGGTTAAGTTTGGAGAGGTGCTGTGGAACAAAATGACTAGAGGGCAGGTAATTGTTATCGATTCCCCCGAAGCCTCTCTCCTGTTGAGAGCGGTTTTGGAGAGATGGGCTCCGGGACTCTATCAAAACCACAAAATAAGCGCCGTCTCCACTCCTGCCTGCCTGCTTGCTGGATACCTATAAATTTAACTGCCTTGACAAAGTGCCCAAGGATAGCAGAACCTGTTCAGTCAATCAATATCTGGCACACACTGGCACAGATTCAGCAGGCTCTCTGGGCTTCCTGGCAGCAGCACCGGGCTACCATGATGGCTGATCATCCCCCCTGTCAGCACACTGCCAGCTCATTCTTATATATCCTACAGGTCAGCTCTTTGCACATCAGCGTTTTGCAAATATTGCACGAGGAGAGACCATTTCCAAAATATTACCTGGGTTGTGGACAAAGCAAATATAGTCATTCATTGACTTTTAATGATTTTTTTCAGCCTGTAAACATGGGACCGAAAGCCATAAAATCATTTTCATACCGAGTGATAGATATATATAACACGTTAAGCATATAGGGCTTTCTGCGAGAGTAAACATACTGTATTTCTTGCAGTTACACATCATTTCCTTTTTCCAAACACATGTGTTCTGGGGAAATGTCTCATTACGCTAACACGTGTCTGTCAAATCTGTCAGTCTCTGGGTGGAGGATGCCCATGGTAGTAAAACAGACATAATCCCCTGAGAATGGCTTTGTCAGTTCTGATACCCATGTCCCTCAGTGGGAGAGCAGAGGGGTTTCTGCCTAAATACCTGACAAATCCGGTTGCCACCTGAATACCGGAGTAATCCATCACACACCACTGATGGGCCTACAGAGGCGGATGGAAAGGCTGAGGGTTAAAGCAGCTATAGCTTTTAGTGGAAGCATTGGACAGGGACAATATGGGTGTGGAGGGGAGAGTGAATAGCAACGTAACACAACACAACAGACATTTAATAATGAGTTAAGCTAGCTGCTCAGGACTCCTTTGTATGTTTTGGCAAGACTAATCGAAACAAGGTTTTGGGGAGCGGCAAGGGAAGGCATGCAAGAACTATACACAGATACATGCAAACAACTCGACAACACACGTTTGGAGTTCAGGGGATTAGGGGAAGCTATTTTTAAATGAGGTTTTTTTTTGAGTGTATTCACAGAGGGGTTGGGGTTGACCTCACCTAAAGCCTGCTTCAAACTAAAGGGAAGGGACAAAAGTGAAAATGACCAACCTTCACGCTGATCTGTATGCGGATGAAGTGATTTGATGAAGGTGAGCGATGGAATGAAAAGACACAAAGTGAAGAGGAAGACAACAGAGTGAAACAGGCCAGTGTTTCAGTTGACACAGCGGAGGTTAGGAACAAGAAACAGAGATCCAACATAAAGCGCCAGGGAGAGAAACTCGCTTTTAAAACTCACCAAATGTTTTTTCTACTGTGTAGAGACCTATTTGACTATTTTAGACTCTAGTTTAACATCCCAGTCATCATAACAGTGTGATATTGTTAAATTTATCTCATTAGCCATCCCTCCTTTACATAAGGGATGCTAGATATGCTCCAGTGCCTTCGTAAAAGTCTTCATAAAGTGACCTGAATTAATTAGTTTGCAAGTTTCCCTCCTTGACACACAAATATACACATACATAGAGCAGCATGAAGATACTTTGGTGAAAGAAAAGACCTGCTGCAGCACTTTATCCTCTGTGACATATTGATATGTCACATGGATATATGAAGGAGTGCCAGCAGACAGAAGCTGACATCCCTCCTCCGTTGTGGGATAAGCGCTTGACAAATGAGCGCTCATGCACAATCACAGCACGCTCTCGATTCTGCCCACATTGATGGAGTCCTTCTTGGGAGGAGGGTCACCAAAAAAAAAAAAGGGGCGCACACGCACTCGCACACCTCCAACCACGCACACAGTCCTAATGGATGAGAAGTGAAAGGACATAAATAGATATGAAGACATGAAGGGGAAAAACAATCCACGAGCAGACCTCATCCACAAAACCACCTTCTCCTTCAATCTCACAGTCCCCACCAACACACAAATATGAGGGCATCACTCTCTGTTGGCTGTAAAATGTCAAGACAAGGGTGGTGACGGCAGCATGTTGTGTACCTGCAGACAGGAATCGGATCGGGCGGCGACGATGAGTGGAAAAAGCACAAACACATTTGTAGACAAACCCACAACAAGCACATTTAATGCGAGTCTGACAGCAGAGAGTGTGCGCTTGTGGGAGGGTGTTGGAAGGGTGCTGATAGAGAATAATAGCATTCTTCCTCTTACAGCAGTCCTTTTATATTTCACGTCCGAGCAGCACTAACTTTATTGGCATTTCAAGATTACAAATGATCTTTCAACGCACGGCAGATAAACTTTTGAGGAGCTAAATTTGATCAAGTGACAGATTCCTATTTTCTAATTAACTTACTGACAAGTCAGAGTGAACACATATCTCAGCAATTAATTTCCATTTATTTACTCATACTAGTGAAGGCTGAGAATAACAGTTTTATAGCTTTGTAAAGCGTTTGGCTGACAGCAAACCTCAAAACAGCCAAAATCTCTGAGAATTATAGAAACTAGAACAACAGGAAAGGAGGAGAGGCAGGTCAAAGGGCACTCGTCTGAAGTCCCATATGTTTTAAACTCAATCTAGCAGCCCGGTGATAGCATAGCCCCAGGTCTCATCTCCTCGTTCTTGCAGCGGTAACAAAGATGGTGAAAACATGGCTTGAGCCTTTATTCTCTATCCCAGACGAGCACACTTTTAAAAGGTTACGGTTGGTTTGATTTCTATCTCTCCACCGGTGTGGTGAGGCTGGCGGAAAAAGTTGGTGTTAAGGCCAAAGGGTTGACAGCTACCTGGGTGGTGTTACAGAGTAGCTGGGCCTGGGGGTCTTGCTGGCGCCACAGCACACAACTACTGTAATTACCTCTGAGGGGGGAAAAAAGGCAGCGTCTGCACCTGTGACAGACAAGTCCTGATTAATAGACAAGACTTACATCCCTTCCTCGCCTTTGCTGTTTGGCTGACTACCTCTCCCTGTCAAGCTTTAAGATCTAAACCTTGTGTTCAGTGTTCAGTCTGTAAATTTGATTCCTCTCTTATCCTTGAGGAGAATTTTACCGATTCCTCTGATCCAGAGGGATGTTTCTGCTGCTGCAAAAACCGTTATCTTGGAAAAATCTGTGCTAAATATTTGTAGAGTATATCTGAGTGACAATGAAATTTGTTTAAAAGTTCATTTCCACTCCCCAAACTGGTTTGATTATGTTGTTTTGGTGTGGATTAGATGGAAAACAGTGGACACTTATTCACTTATTTTATCCCAGTGGATAAAAGGGAGACAGTGGAATCACTCATCCGTAAATGAGCCTCCATGATACACTACTGTGTGCTTTTAACAAAATTATGAAATGAGAGCCAAGCGTGTCTTTTTCTTACCATAACACTTTCACTCCCTCCCTCCCTCCCTCCTCCACCAGCTTTTCTGTTCCATGTACATCAGACATGGTGGTGATATCTGCAGGGGCTGACCCGCACTACTCTCTCCCCTATACCCGCTTTTTCCAGTATGGGTGCAACGTTGCCCTCGCCTTGCATTAGTCTGCTCACAGAGACACCGCAACAAAAACAAACCCTGAAACTCCAGACTCATCCATGCCTTTAAGAGCTCTGGGTTATGCGGGGGGGGAATAATGGAGCCTTTCGATACAGTCAAAATAAAAAAGAAAGGAGGCCTGGCATCAGTGCCAGCAGAGGAAATGGCTTCAATGCAGCTGTTTTCACAGAGGCTGCACCTGGTGGAGTTTGCAGCCAAACAGGAGGTTGAGGTTAGTGCAGCTCATTGGTAAGGAAGGAATGGCATGGCGAGGATAATGCTGAGAGAATTGCTTAAAGGAGATACACAGGCAGAGAGAGTGGGCATAAATGTGGTAAATGAGAATTACACAACAGTTAAAAGGTACTGGAAGCGTTTTTGCTCATCTTGGCTGATTGGAAATCTCTTCCTGTTGAAGGTCAACAGAGCTAAGTTGGAAATTGCTCAATTCATTAATAAGAATCTAACAATCAATAATGAGATGTAATTTGTCCCATTTTGTCAGAGGCAACCAAGGTTGGATGAGAGGAAGGAAGCTGTCAATAAAACACACTCTGCACATTCCCACACAGCAGGGCTTAAATCATATCGTGGCTCGACGAGGCACTTTAAAGGCTTGCGTGGTTTCTTGAGATAACGGAATGATTTTAATGATTGATTAACTCCACGATTGAGAGAGACATTTGACTTTACCTCGCACGTAGAGATTGGCAGGAGCAGAGTAACGGGTCCCGGCACTGTTCATGGCGACACATTCATATTTCCCCTGGTCCGACTCCTCGCTGTTCTCAATTTGCAGGGCTCCTGCATAGAGGATTAGCAAATTTAGCTGTCTTGACAGTTGTGGAATAGGACACATTACTTGGCATGAAACCACAGCAGATATCTGTACAGTGACTTGCTAGAAACTCTGCAGACAACTAGTTTAAGCCAGTTCATGCTCAGACACGGACACAGATCAGTCAAGAAAATACTTACGGCAACACAAGTACAGAGCAGATCTGGCAAGTTTATGACAAAAGATGCTCTTTCTCTTCGTTGTGTTAAAAAACGGGGCTCTGGGTCAATATTTGTTTGAATAACATGTCAAAAGCATCACGGTCTAATTAGGTTTTCTGCTTTGGGTAATAACTGACAAACCAAAGAGATTACATGATAAAGGATTATTCTCAGCCAAGTTATGCCGAATGGACTCAACATGTACATGCACAGTCACGCTGCTGTTAGGACATTATATAAACAATGTAACTTTAATTTTAAGTTGAATGTAAATAATGTTTTGTGACATTCTGTCAAAATACATAAATAAGCATATTTCTCCAGAAAGAAAGCTTCTTTTCGTCACTCATTGTTGAGTACACATTAAGCAGTGACCTCATTACTGACCATGTCCCACTGAAAGGAGAAGCTTCAGCTGCCAGATGGCTTAGATTAGTATTCATAATCCTGAGTAGCTCTATTTATCAAAGAGATGACTAACATCTTGTTCCTAACAAAGCATAAAATCCCAGGAGACCGGTCTTACTTAGGTCCTTCTGACACTCCGTGCCGGAGCTCTTATCTGAGAAGTTGAGAAAGAGCAACGGCACACTTACCTGACCCACCTGATTTCAAATACACTACAAACAAAGCTAATTCTTTCACAGGTATACAGTGAGTGATAAAACTTGATCACATCTCCAAGCAGCATGGCAGTAGGACGAACGGCGGCCAACCACCATGCAGTTTGAAAGTGACAAAGATACTCAGCATAAGATGACGTCAGGATACATTTTTCACATCATGCAGTATGAGATGAATGTAGCAAACAGGTTCACCACCAACCATGGAGGACTCGACTCCAGACAAGACCCCAAAAACAAAAGAAAAAAAACTGGAGTGGGACAGGGACATGTGACAATATCACCTCAGATCTCATGACAACACATCCCTCCGAGGTGTTTACTCTGCTTGCTGAGCTCATCGCTGTCTGATTCAGCACTGACATGTACCTGCATACTAATGCAGATGTCACAAATGTGTCAATCTGCCTGTTCTACCACGGGGGAAAACAGTCTGAGTACAGAAATGTAGAAGGTTACTGCTATCACAGCTGTCAAACTGCAACACTAAACCCCATTCAATAACCAAGCGCTGGAACACTTGTGGATTTCCTACAAGGTCATCTCACTGTTTTATAGGGTACAAACTAAGGGGCAGCATGGCTGTAATAACATAACACCAGCTCCTAAATAGTTAAACATCTAATTAAATATGGGTTTTATTAGGACAAACAGACACACAGAGACTCTAAAACATATTCAGCTTGCCCCACAATATCCACTATTGCTTTCATGCTTTCAGTTGGAAGATTTCCATAAAAAGGGGTTCAAACTTCCACCTTAATAATCTCAAGCAGGTATTTTGCACCTATGCTAGCGTGTGTGTGTGTGTGTGTGTG